CCTCTCATGCTCTCTGTCTCTCATTCTGTCTCAAATAAATAAATAAAATCTTTAAAAAAAAAAAAAAGTCTTCATAGCACAAAGATGTTAGATGTCTCCAAATTAATCAAAATTTAATGCATTTTCAAAAGAAATCCCAAGAAGATTTTTGTTGTAATGTGGCAAAATGATTATAGGATTTAAGCAGAAAAACAAATTACCCAATAGCCAAGATAATTTAGGAGAAGACCAAGAGGGTGAAATGAATTTGTTCCTGAACACATATCCAGCTATGGGAGTTAAGAGTGTATACCACCAACCCAGGGAAAGATAAAAGATGAGTGGAACAGAAAAGGGAGCCCAAAACTGCCTTCAATAAGTTCAGTATCTGGAAAGGAACTGTAACCGCAGCAAATGGTACTTGGACTATTAAATATAATTTAAAAAATTAAAACTGAATAATCACACACATGCATACACAGAGGAAATAAGACCAAGGTATGAGAAACAAAATTTTAAATCCTTTTGAAGGAAACATAAGAAACTATATTTATAATTTGGGGGCAGAGAAGAATTTTTTAAGTAAAATGTAATAAAACCATAATAAATTTTGATTATCTGACTATACTAAAAATATAATGGCTTATCAAAAGATATTTTAAAAGTCTAAAGATAGACTACAGATTAGAATAAACTTGCATGTAATAACAAAGGGTTAGCAAATTAGTATCTAGAAGTTAAAAGCCTTCTAGTACTCAATAAGAGAAATAAAATAAAAAATAAAAATGGATTATATAAAATACATATGAAATTTAAAAATTCCTTCTAGATTATTGATTTTAACCCTTCCTGACATCAAATAACTTATTATGGAATTCATGAAGTGACTATATAAATATCAAATCTATTATGGCAGCAGATAATTGAGTTAATTTATAAAATAACTCTGATACTGTACACTCATGACAGTAGGACATTACTTTCATTGCCAAAGGAAATGTGATCAGGTTTATATCAATCCTTTCATATTTATTTTTATTTTACTTTTTACTTTAAAGTTGATCATTCTCTTGGAATGGAGCCAATGGATTGGATCATTCTTCTGGATCTATCAGAACTGATCATTCTAATTTAACCTTGCCACCCAACAGTTGCATTTTAAAACCAAAATAAAGCTTTCATTAAAAGTGGAGTTACTTATAAGTTATTACTTGAAATTATTTGAGACTTTACCTTAGTATCCGCCTCTTTAAAATTAACACCTAAAATATTTATTTTTAGATGGCTGTAAAAACTAACATAGTTCTTAGTTATATGCCTTTAAAATACTATGCTCAAATTTTTTAAGCATCTTATTTGATACCCACCCTTTTGCATCCTCAAAACTTTTCCCAAATTGCCAGTGTACGTAAAAGTATCTACACATACTTAACAATAAATATTAGCTGAATTTGTTCCTAAAATGTGTAATATTTACAGATCAGTACAGCTATTAAACTATCAGGGGCAGTATAATAAAGGGTGGGGAGAGGGGGAATAAGCCTCTTAAAATACAAACACAGGCACACCCTCCAACATTTAGGCTTTTTGAAACCTAACGGTCATTAGGAGCCATGATTTTGTCTTCTGTTCAGCAAAGTATTGCATCATAACAAGCAAAGTTCTCTGCAATTATGCCACACTTTGTTTCATACCAGAGAAAACACTTCATTCTACATGAGAGCAAGAAAGGAAAGCAAAAGCCTTTTTCTTGTAAATACTTCAAATGCCTGAGTGGAAATAGGTCTAAGGGTGAAAGAGTCTCGGAATAAATGTACTGATGCATATGCCAACATTGTTTTCCATAGTTTCATATTTTAATGAATTTCCCAAAACCATAGAAAATGAATCACTGAAGGAAGAACAAATAAAACCTGGCTAACATAATCAGCACTTAGAAAAAAAAAAAAAATTCAACCACATCACATTATGGAACATGGATTCTCCCACTTTCGTGAATTCTTGCATTTCATAAGCACAGTGAAATACCAACTCAAGCCAAATAGTTCATCTGTTCCAATTGTATTTACAAACACTAGCTGACAAGCTGACAGCTGACAACAGAGCGAGCAAAGAATAATGTTTTCCTGTAAATTAACCAAATTGGGAGGGGGGGGTGCTGCTAGCCATTGGGGTTCTACAGAAAAGCTTATGAAAATACCAAAGAGAAACAAAGATATATGTAGGATCCACTAAGTTTAAAATCTCTAGGTCAAAAAGTCTGAAAAATTAAAGGGATGTGTCAGGACCTAATACAACAGGAAAATACTGCAATGACTATGCCTAAACTTAACATTCATATTAATAGTCAGAAGGATTCACCCAAGCCATTGGTTCTCATGTATGGCCCCCACATCAGCCAGCTCAGCTTCAGTTCATGTGGGAACTTCAAAGGGCAAAATTTCAAGCCCTCCTGCAGACCTAATGAATCAGAAACTCCAGATGGTAGAGCCCAGCATTTTGTTTTAACAGAAGTCCAGCTGATTCTGATGATCTGAGGACCACGGCATATCTGTAAGTCTTTAGGCCACGTACCTTCCCATAGTTCCAGGTACTGTCATATGTGACTTGCTAAGTAAATCTGCAGTTTAGCTCTTCTGTATATAAATGGAGGAGGGCAGTTGTCACATAGTAGAAAAAACAAATCTGGGATTACATAACTACTTTGGCTGGTAAAAATTTCTCCTCTTACTTCTCTGATGACCCAATCTTACTTTTTCCAATTAGCAGGAGGTTTTGTAAAAAGTAACTAATCATCATCAAAGATTATCAATAACAAAGTCCCCAAATTATTTGAGGATTTATTTTTATTCCTACTTCATGTACATCCTGATACATAATTATATGAACAAAATGTCACCTATTCTTTATCATCTACAGCAGTGATTCTTACACTAGCTGCATCAGAATCTCCTGGAGAATTTGTTAGACTGCAAACTGTGGACTCCACTCCAGAGTTTCTGATTTAACAGGAATCAGCATTTCCAACAGGTTCCCAAAAAGTGCTGATACAGTAGCCCTTGGTACCACGCTCTAGCCCAGATCTCAAGATACTTACACATCCTTTCTGCTCTTACCAACACCTCTCTACAATGACACTGTATATAGCTTTACACTTGGCACGGAGTTTTAGGATGGCCAAGCTGTTCAACAGGTATCTTGTTTATATAGGTGTTGTTTTCCTGACTTGCACATTCTTTAAAGGGAAGAAACATCTACATGAGTTGTTTTTTTTTATTACTTAGAATACTTAGAATTGTGCTGAGCAGAAGGTATAGTCCCCTTCTTTATAAACACTAAAGCATATCAAGGAAGGAGAAATGGGTTGTTTATTCTTAAATGTTTAATTTCAAGGGGATAAAGGAAATGAGGAAAAGCATTGATGGATAGGGCTACAGCATTTGCTGTTGTAAAATTATGCACATTGGTTATCAAAAGATGGTGGTAAATCATCTTTACCTAGAAGTGTCCTCTTGATTGCCTGAATAATGTTTCATTGGGAGATGAAGGATGGTTTCTTTGGGGCCATTTTCCATAAAATAATTAAAGGCAATACACAACCTGTGAAATTCAGTATTGTAATCAGAACCTAACCTGATCATTTGATTGCTTTCATGGCCTGGAGAACCTTGTACATGTATATTTGTCTGAATGGTGGAAAAAACACATATAGCATGTCCCTAGCTCTAATTTATTATTTTGCTATCCTATTATTAATTTCTTTCTTAATATAAAAGAATTGAAAAAATGTTACACTAAACATTATTTCTAAATCCAGTTTCTACAGCTAATGTCAAAGATGATTTATTCCACAAAAAGCAGCTATTTTTAAGAAGGAATTTCAACCAACAACAGACATGTAAAACTTGCATTGCATGTGTATTTCCTTTCATGCTA